GCAGCTCGATGCGTATCCACTGCCCAAAATCTCTGAGCTGGTAAATCAAGTGGCCCAGTACAAGCTGTACAGCACAGTAGACCTCAAGTCTGCCTATCATCAGGTTCCAATCCGCCCCGAGGACAGACCGTATACGGCATTCGAGTCCTGCAAACAGCTGTACCAGTTCCGCAGGATTCCATTTGGTGTCACCAATGGGGTGGCCTGCTTTCAGCGCATCATGGATCAGTTCATCAAGGACAATGGCCTCTCAGACACGTTCGCCTATCTGGACGACATCACCATCTGTGGCAACAGCCAGGAGGAGCATGACTCTAACCTGAGTAGGTTCATGGAGGCTGCGAAGAAGCATGGCCTGACTCTGAATCTTGACAAGTGTCTGTTCTCTGCTGCTTCAGTGACCCTGCTTGGGTACTCTGTTTCGCATGGCGAAATCAAGCCGGACCCTGAGCGTCTCCGGCCTCTCCGGGAGCTTCCTCTTCCAAGCAGCGTGGGCTCACTGCGGCGCGCTCTTGGGATGTTCTCCTACTACGCCCAGTGGATCCCGAACTACTCTGCAAAGGTGGGGCCCATCGCTCGAGCCTCCACCTTCCCTCTCAACGAAGAGGCTGAACGTGCGTTCAAGCTACTGAAGGATGAGATCGAGAAGGCCACTGTGCATTCGATCGATGAAGACGCTCCGTTCGTGGTTGAAACTGATGCGTCTGATGGGGCTATTGCTGCTACCCTGAACCAGGCAGGAAGACCCGTAGCGTTCTTTTCTAGGACGCTGAACTCAAGCGAGCAAAAACACTCTGCGGTGGAAAAGGAAGCATACGCTATCGTGGAGGCCCTGCGCAAGTGGAGACACTATCTCACTGGACGCCACTTCACTCTGATAACGGATCAGAAATCAGTGTCCTTCATGTTCAACGCCAAGCACGTTGGAAAAATCAAGAACGACAAGATCCAGCGATGGAGGATGGAGCTCGCGTGCTACAGTTTTGACATTCAGTACCGTCGAGGGGTAGAAAACCTCCCAGCTGACGCCTTCTCCAGAGCGTACTGTGCGACGGTCAGCTCAGATACCCTGGTGGAGCTCCACAACTCTCTCTGCCACCCTGGCGTCACCCGGATGATACATTTTATCCGCTCTCGCAACCTGCCGTTCTCCGTGGATGATGTTAGGCGAGTCACTTCTTCGTGTCAAGCTTGCGCCGAGTGCAAACCGAGGTTTTATCGTCCGCCTCAAGCTCACCTGATCAAGGCCACCCAACCCTTTGAGCGTCTCAGTATAGATTTCAAGGGTCCTCTTCCGACATCCTCTCGCAATCGTTATCTATTTACTGTCGTCGACGAGTTCTCACGCTTCCCTTTTGCGTTTCCGTGCGCCGACATGACGACCCCCACGGTGATCTCGTGCCTGAATCAGTTATTTGCGATCTTTGGCATGCCAGCCTACATTCATTCGGACAGGGGTGCAGCCCTTATATCAGCTGAGTTGCGTCAGTTCTTCACTAGTCGCGGCATCGCTTCCAGCTGCACTACACCGTACAACCCCCGCGGTAACGGCCAGTGTGAGAGATACAACGGCGTAATATGGAAGGCAGTTACTCTCGCTTTACGATCCCATGGTCTCCCAGTACAGCGGTGGGAGATGGTCCTACAAGACGCCCTGCACTCCATTCGATCTCTGCTCTGCACATCTACCAACGTCACTCCGCATGAGCGTCTGTTTGCGTACAGCCGTCGCTCTACGAGTGGCTGCTCTGTCCCCTCGTGGCTGGCCTCAGGGGGGCCCGTGCTACTGAGGCGGCATGTTCGTCATTCGAAGTACGATCCTCTGGTAGAAGAGGTGGAGTTGCTCGAGGCGAATCCTCGGTTTGCTCATGTTCGTTTCCGGGATGGGAAGGAGTCCACTGTGTCTGTGCGTGACTTGGCTCCTCGTGGTGATGCCACTCCACTGTCTCATAGGAGTGCTGATGAGGGCGGCGCCGAAGCTCCTGGCCCTGTTGCCTCTGGTCCCGTTGAGTTTCCTCGCGAGCCACAGGCAGCAGCGAATCAGGACAGGGGTGCTCAGGAGTCTCATGGCCGGGCGTCCCCACCCCCCGAGCCGTCACAGATCGTTGAGTCGCATTCTGCGGATCAACCTCTTGATCCGCCCACTTTGCGTAGATCATCTCGTGTTCGTAGGGCTCCCGACCGTCTAGACCTCTAGGTTGGGACATCGCGCGAAATGTTACCGCCACATGTTGCGCTGGGCTTGGGTCGACTGTCGTTTTACTTGTATGCTGTTTGTTGCGTCTTCTCTGTAACACGGGGAGAATGTGGTGTGTTTATGTGTCTGCTTGCGCTGTGCCGTCGCTGCTTTGTAAATGCTTGAGACGCATGCTTTTTGTTGCAGGTATGGTGCTTGCCTTTTTGTTGAATAAAGCCAAAGTTATGAAGCAACGCATGTGCATGATCTGAGTCTTGTAATTACTGCATGCGCTAGAAGGCCTGGCTCACTACAGTCATCTCAGGCCATGAACGGTCACCAGCAGTTTTTTGGCTATAACTTTTGATAAAAATATGCTAGAGCGGTGAAACTACGTCAGATGTGTTCAGCTCGACGATACGGATCGACTGATATGCAGCATGACCCTTTCCGGTCAAGTCATGACCTTGACCTGAGGTCAAATTTTTAAAATGACATTTCAATGTCAACGTATAGTTCTTTCGACGCGTCTCGACGGGAGGAAAACGATGCTGGCAAAATAAATCTCGTCACTGTCTTGAGGCAAAAGGTAGGTATTGCAGAAAAAGTATATGGGACAGTCTCACGCCATCTGGCACTCATGCAGTCACATATGTCCACAAGTAGGGGCTGCGCGCACTATAGACATCGAATTTAACCCGGCACGCGGTGGGCCTCCCGGCCACCTTCCGCGCGGTGGAGGGGGCATTTTTTTTTTTGCCCCCCCCCCCGTGTCTCCGAAACTACTGGACGGATCCGGAAAATTCAAACGGCGTTCGATAGCCCTGTCAAATTTGTCGAAGGAAACCAAATTTCATTGACCTCGGGGTCACCGATGACGTCACAGGTCAGGTCGAAGATAGAATGTTTCACCGTTCACGGGGCTTCGATCGAAAAATCGAAAAATCGAAATAGCAGTTTTGTAGCCCTTTTGATTCCACACCTTTTATGTCTGAAACATTTTTCTGTATATCTCTAAAGCTGTAGGCCTGACAGCTCTTCCCACGAAACCTTTTTTGGGTCGAAAATGGCAGAAATGACGTCACTCTGACGTCATTAGAGGCCAACCTATCATAGCCTTTGGAAAAATGTTTGGTCACCATGTGCGCTAGCTACTCCCGGGAGGGTACTGAAAGTTTGGTGACGATCGGCGCAGTGGTTCTCGAGATATATCGAAAAAAACTAAAGGGAGGGGTACAAAAAAATGCCCCCCACCGCCTGGAAGGTTAAGGTTTGTGGAGAAAAAAAATCCAGAACGTATGTAACAGACATGTGCATGGATCCGAGTGATGGATCTATGATCTCAGTGGATCTCGAAGCAAATTACAGGTTGGGATCTATGATCCCACCGGATTCGGCGTGAAAAATACATCTTGGATCTATGATCTCATATGATCTGATGATAAATTAAGAACATGGATCTATGATCTGAGTGGATCCCACCAGGCACCACATTTGAAACCATGTTTTAAAGGGTCTCTATGCCAATAAGTGACACAAAACTATGGATTATGACGTGCGATCACATAACATCACTAAAACAGAACGCTTGTGAGTTGAAACAAGTGCTTTTTTGGGATATATGTGTTGACAAAAGATAAGTGAGGATCTATGATCTCACTGGATCTCAAGCAAAAAATGAGACACGGGTCTGATCCATACGGATCTCTCGATAAATTACAGAAGTGGATCTATGATCCCGTCGGATCCGAGATCAGGATCCGTGGGATCAGATCTCAGATCCATTTTCTCGGATCCATGCACATGTCTGGTATGTAAGCGTTTGGTCGCCTCTGACTGCAGTGACGCAGTCGCTGCTAGTATGACAATCAGTTGGTATCTCATGGTGGATCTCATGGTCTTAAATGTTCAAGTCTTTCCTGGATTCCAATTTCGGCAATAAGTCGCAGCGTGAATCCTTCATACTACGTGCGGTCTTAGATTCTAAGCGCGGCCACTCCGGTCGACCACAGGCTGTAGCCCACAGTTCACTTTGGATCAGTGAGTGAACACTGAACCTGTATAATTTTTTGCAAAGAATAAAAAATGTGCTCATCGATTAATGTATGTTTTACTGTTTCGAATTTACATGGATGTGTTTTTTTAGAATAAAATGTCAGTAGCCAGAGCTCATTTCCTATATCATGCTAAATATTCATCAAGATCAAGGTTTCTTTTTATAAAACAACACCAGGCTGCAAATTGCATTAATTGGATTTTATGACAAATCAGCGAAGCCTAGTTTTTATACTTGTATTTTGCAGCACCTCATAAATCATGCATGAACATGACGATTGACGATACATTTTAGACTGACGCCCCTGTCGCTAGCTGACAATAGCGCCCCTCTCAAGGGAAAAAGTCGTCCCTCGAGCACCATGGCCCCCTTTCGCAGATTTCTGGATACGCCACTGCTTGCAGGATCACTTCCTTGTTGACCTCATGAAGACTCGTGCACTCATGCAGCATGCATCAAGCTTCATCTTTTCCATGCATCCAATTATCCTTGATGTGGAAAAAATAAAGATGCCATATATTTATGGGTACTCCCGCCTCTCATGTAGGTTGTAGGTTTTTAGGTTGTAGGTTGTAGGCGTAGGTTAGATTAGGTCAGGTCAGGTTAGATTAGATTAGGTTTGTTTAGGTTTTGTTAGAAAGAAGCACCTCCGGGTATAGCACCTCTCCTTGGTTGGAAAACCTTCATGTGACGTCTGCTCTACTAATACCAAAATGTCTTGACCACAAAGCTTTAAAAATATGAAACAAAAAACCATAAAAAACTTACCGTGGGTTTTTGAGGAACCTTCGTTGCCATTCTTATTCACCAGCATTTCAATGTCACTAGCCATCTTCAGATCACATATGTTATACTAGAAAATATGCTTCTAATGCAACGTTAAAAGAAACCTCACAAAAGCATCCCGTACTGGAACAGTCAATACCATCCAGAGGGGCCAGCGGGTACGCTCAAGCTTGGCTCAAGCTTTTTTAGCATTACAAAAAGTGTGACAGACGTTTGTGGAGGATTGTCGAAGATCTCTTGTTCCGTGAGCAGCATATACGCGCTAGCGGAAAATCGACCAATCAGTGCTTGTCAATACTCGGCGCTAATTGGTCCGGTGCTCGTGACGAAAAAGGAGGGGACCGCAATTATTCTCAATCTAATAGGGATCCGAATAGGGTTTCGGAGGGATTTCTTCACAGGGGAGCACTGCCGCTTCAACCCTATTGGCCGTAGGGTCTAATGGTGGCGGCCATATTGCGTAGACCAGGAACCGGCTGCCGCCTGTGTTGAGGAATAGGGAATTGAGAATTCGGGACCTCGATTTACGTTTGCGGCCGCCGTATCCGTTACGTTCAAGTAACGTAGATACAGAACCCGGCATCTTACGCAGAATTGAGTGGGAACCAGTGGCGGCGGAAGCGGGGGGGGCAGCGGGGGCACGGCGCCCCCCCCCCCCCCCATCTTCCAGGGTGGGGGGGCAAACATATCTTTTTGCCCCCCCAAAATTGTTATCGACGAAGTACCACAATACTTCCATACTACCTACGTCAGGAACATATGCCAGTTTGGCTGAGTACCTTTTTATTAAGTTGATATAGCGAGTAACTTGGATTGATAATAGCCGTTTTCACGACGGGCTATCCGGCGAGCTAGTCCGTGACGGACTATTTCCACCAAACGCCCTCCACACATAATGCTCAGAAATCAAGCAGAGCTATCTACGAGCTACCGGTAACCGAAGTCTGGAAGAGTAGGACGGAACGCGAGTGGCCCGGCAGGCGGCACGGACGTCACGAAAGTGCGTCTGAGCGTGCCACAGGCCTTTCCCCGCGACTCTGCCAGACGCCAGCCGGCATAGGCGCGTGAGCCGGGGGGCAGCATGGGGGCAGCCTGCCCCCACAACTCTGGGGCCGTGGGGGTCTCTGCCCCCGCAAAGTTTCAAAGGGCCAGGAACCGTCGGGGCAGCTTGTCCTCCCCATATTAGCGGCCGAGGGCCTCAAAGAAAAGCTGAATGGAAGACAATACCTATTTAAGTAAAAAAATCCCCCTCTGTACCTGACTTGACAGCTCATGTGTGGAAGCTTTAAACGTTTATTCCAGGTTACCAAAAAGGTAGTTTCTTGACTCAGATGAGACTAATTATCTCACTTATTTGCAAATGTTTTATTTTTTATTTTTGTTGTAAAGGCCAAGAGGTGAAAAATAAGTGGCCTAAAACCGGTGAGAAAACTAGATTTGGGGGTACCCTAGGTTCCGGGAAGGATCAGGTGTGCCCCCCCATCCCAAAATACCTTCCGCCGCCACTGGTAGGAACCACGATCGTATCTTCAGAATTCCTCATATTCACTCGCAGGACCTACATTTGCCCAGTGACGTACCCAAGGGGGGGGCCACGGGGGCCAAGGCCCCCCCCCCTGAGCGCCGAAGGCGCTCAGGGGGCCCCTCAGGCCCCAGGATATTTTTTTAAACACTGGATAAAACGTCTTTTACTCGGAAGAAAAATTGATATTTAAGTTTCATTTATGTGCCCTGGGTACCCGAGGGGCCCCTGCAGTCATCCAAGGGCCCCCAGTTTCCTGGGCCCCTGGTCGCCTAGGGGGCCTCTGGTAGCCGGGGGCCTGGTCTCATGGGGGCCCCTGATAGCCTGTGGCCCCTAGTCGCCTAGGGGGCCCTGGTCGCATGGGGGCCTCTGGTCGCATGAGGCCCCTGATCGACTGGGGGCCCCTAGTTGCCTAGGGGGCCCTGATAGCCCTGGGCCTGGTCGTATGGGCCCTTGATAGTTTGTGGCCCCTAGTCGCCTAGGGGGCCTTAGTCGCATGGGCGGCCTCTGGTTGCATGCTATTGAGGCCCCTGATCGCCTGGGGGTACCTAGTCGCCCAGGGGGCCCCTGGTAGCCGGGGGGCCTGGTCGCATGGGGGCCCCTGGTTGCCTGGGGCCCCCGGTCGCCCCTAGTCGCCTGGGGGACCCTGGTCGCCTTGGGCCCCTGGTAGCCTGGGATCCCCTGGTCGCCTGGGGGCCCCTGATCGCCGGAGGGCCGCTGGTCACCTAGAGGGCCCCTGGTCGCCTGGGGGCCCCTGGTAGCCGGGGGCCTGGTCGCATGGGGCCCTCTGGTCGCATGGGGGCCCCCTGGTCGCCTGGGGGCCCCTGATCGCTTTAGGGACCTGATCGCATTGGCCCTTGGTCGCCTGGAGGGCCCTGGTCGCCTGGGGCAGTGGGGCCCCTAGTCATCTGGAGGACCTGGTCGCCTGGGAACCCCTGGTCGACTGGGGGCCCCTGGTCGTCTGAAAGTACGCTTATCACCTGATTGATCCCAAATCATCTGAGTGGCTACTGCCCAGTAAACATGCCGACGTCGGCCCGACGTCGGGCCGAGGCTCGGCCCGACGTCGGTCCAACGTCGGTTCAACCTCGGCCCGACATCGGCTGGACGTCGGATATGCCCGCATGTTCCGACGTCCAGCCGAAGTCCAGCCGACGTCGAGCCGACGTCGGGCCGAGGTCGTTTGCCAAGGTTGACGAGATCGTTTGTCGTTGGACCGACGGGGCCGACGTCGGCATGTTTATTGGGACAAAGCGCCAAAAATATCAACCGGCGGCGGGATTCGAGCCCCCCAGTCGCCGACGTCGGCATGTTTACTGGGACAACACGCCAAAAGCATCATCCGGCGATGGGATTCGAACCCCGTGTCATTTGAACGCGAGGTTAGTGCGCTAACCACTACACCACGCAGCCAGACAGCAAAGTTAGTTTGTTTTGTTGGGTTATGCCCTTTCGGTCTGACAAGACCATTTCAGAGCCGGAAGGATGATAGGATGGAGACATTGGTCTTCTTGGCGAGCACCCTGGGTCCAGTTCATAAAGAGTCCCTGGTCCCATTGCTGTTACGTGACACTTATTGGAAAGGGCGACCCCACAATGGATTCATATAGCCACTCTTACACACCTGCACCAACGTTTCCCAAAGTGTACCTTTGATAAGTGGCACTTTGGCAAAGTGACACTTGCCGACTGGCCTTTCTATATGAACTGGGCCCGGCCCTGGTGAGTTGCCGGGGCTGAGCCTGACCAAAGGATAGGCCGAGCAGCCCCCAAGCACTCACCGCACCCGGATACGGGCGAGCTCGGCTTAAGGGCAATCCCAAATGGGATAAAGTTTCCCGTCCAGTCCGGATCAGGGGGTTGCGGCGTGGAGGAAGATTTGAGTTTCCTGAGGATATTTTGAATACAGAAGCTCTTTATGAAACATGAAACATGTATTTTATATTATTTTAACGGTCAAAACAGCGGCCGATGTCGGTCCGACGTCGCCCCGACGTCGGCCCGACGTCGGCTGGACCTAAGCAATTGATCTCGGTCCGACGTCGGCCCGACGTCGGCTGGACCTCGGCTGGACGTCGGAATATGCGAGCATATCCGACATCCAGCCGACGTCGTGCCGAGGTTGGACCGACGTCGGGCCGACGTCGGCATGCCGATGCCGCGTTGCCGACGTCACCCCGACGTCGGCCGACGTCACCCCGACGTCGGCCGACGTCGGGCCGACGTCGGCATGTTTACTGGGTGGCTACTGGATATAAGTAGTGACTGGAGTAGGCACTCATCTGAAGGAGCCAATATCTTTCACGGTGCCGGAGATATCACAGAAAAACAAAAAGGCTAAACTGAATACCCCCCAACCTTGGCCCCAAAGGCGTCATTGGCTAACACAGGGATGTGGGTCGATTTGCAATCGCATTTCCTCCTAAGTCCTATTCCTCCAATTAATACAGAGTGTCCCAGAATTACACAAACATTTATTTTCTGGCTAAAACTACAATTGCGCTCGATTCCTAGTGAAACATATAATAGCCGCGTTTACATAGGGCTAGTTGCCAGATAGTGGAATTCCGATGAGACATTTATTCCCCACTATTATATTATATACCTACATATCCGGAATTGGAGGATGTTCAGTAATTGAGGCGCTCGCTCATAAAATGCTGTGCGTTTCATGCACACTCCTCAAGCAAAAATATTTTTACTTTCCAATTTTCCACATTTTCTCAAGGCTTAGACCGTTACAGAGACCGTTTTAATTGACTTTGATGAAGTTGAACGCGAGAAATCACAACCAAATGCTACATTAGGTTGTAAAGAACTGAATTGCGTTTTCCCATACACGTGGCGTTTTCTCACCTACGTTTGCAGGAGAGAGCGGACCCACTATGCCCCCCCCCCCCCACCATCGAAAGGTTCTTCCTGACTCCCGGGGGCCCCCGGGGAACCTAGGGGCCCTATACACTGTGGGGGGCCCCTTCGAAAGAAGGTGGCCCCCTCCTGGGCGAAATCCTGGGTACGTGCCTGCTGATTTGCCCCGGCCGAGAGGGTTAATTGAACCTACCTCGCTAATAGGTACGCCGCTAATTAAACCATAATTTAGCGGTAAAGTGGTCGTATGCGGCAAATTACAATGCAGAGTGACTGGTAGGAATCCGCTTTAAAGGTCTCAGGTCAACCGGTGACCTCTGAGGTCAGGTCATGTGACCTAAGGCACGGGTTCGGCTTTTGGCAAATAACTTCGCCAAAAATGGCTGTAGAGCCGCGATTTTGGCATCATCGTGTTCAGCTAGCTCAGGCACATCGAGTGATATACTTTTTGTTTAGGTTAGGTCAATTTAAGGCATTGACCTCGTGACAAGGTCAGGTCAGAGCTCTCAGGTCACGAAGCTGGTCGGGTAAGGTCATGTTGCCTATCATTCGATTCGGCAGGTCTTTCTGAGTCCATTTGTGGCTTTCCTGATTCGCTAGCTCAATTTGATCGGGAGTTATTGAAGAAAAATTGTGACCCTTGTGACGTCACAAATGACGTCACGCAAGGGCAACATTGTAAATGCAAAGCATCGAACCTTGCAAGGAGTGCATGAAATCATGATTCTATACAGTGGCGGATCCAGGGGGCAAAATGGGCATTTGCCCCTCCCAAACGGCATAATTTTAACATAACGCCTAT